GGGGGGGAGGGGGAGGGGGAGGGGGCAATTAGGTGCGCTCGCGTCATATCTGACATCCTACCCCTCCCTCCCATCCCTTACCATGGCGCAGATCCCCTCTCTACTCGCTCAGTCGGATGACGAGCAGGGCAATGATCCCGAAAGGGTACGCGATGCATTGTAGAGCACGGCATGGCATGGCGCAGAAGAGCACCGCAAAGCGTAGTATGAACCTAGCATTGCATTGCATGCCGTGGCATGGCACGGGAAATGACGCCAGCGCTGCAGCAGGAGCACGAGTCGAAACGAGCGGAAGCGCGGAAATGAGGCCAGCGCTGCAGCGGGAGCACGATTCGGAACGAGCACGATTCGGAACGACCAGGGCCCGAAAATGAGGCCGGCGCCTCAGCGAGAGCAGCATTTTGAAAAAAATGCAGGCGAAAACCCAACTCCGGGGAAACTTGTGTGCAAAAAAAAGTACGCGGGGGGCGGTCGACCACTTTCAAACCGTCATCAGGGGAAGAGGGAGAATAGTATTCATACTGAGTAATTGTAGAAAGGAGGAGGAGGAGGAGGAGGAGGAGGAGGAGAGGGGAGGAGAGAGGAGAGGGGGAGGAGGAGGAGGAGGAAAAGAGAGGAGGAAGAGGAGGAAGAGGAGGAGAGGAGGGGAGGGGAGGAGGAAGAGGAGGAGGAGGAGGAGGCGCGCGAGAGAGGGCCTCTTGAGCGCACTCGTGGTCTCCGTGCCTCGCCGTTCGTGCTCCCACTCGGCGGGCTGCCTCGCGGCCTCGCCCCGGCGGCCTCGCGCCGCTTCTCCCCGCCTGCCTGCACGCCGTTCGGCCCGCCGCCCCCCGCCGCGGTAAGTGTTTGGTGGGGTCGCCGGCCTGCTGCAGTCCCCCCCCCTCCTCCTCCCCCTCCTCCTCCTCCTCCTCCTCCTCCTCCTCCTACTTCCTCCTCCTCTCCTCCTCCTCCTCCTCCTCCTCCTCCTCCTCCTCCCCCTCCTCCCCTTCCTCCTCCTCCGCCTCCTCCTCCGACGTCGACGACGACGACGACGACAACGACGACCACGACGACGACGAGGTGCCCAGACCCCCTCGCGTTGTGAAGAAATCACGGCGGGCGGTTTTTCGCCATTTTCGGCCTCGGGGGCCTTTCCCGGGCTTCGGGGCCGTCAAAAAATGGCGCAGGATGAAAGACCGGTCCCAGGGAAGGGGTTCAAATTTCTGAGGGTCACGTCCCGAAAAAAATCACGACGTCGGGGGTCTGGTCAATCCACACCCCTCCACCCGCGCGCCGCTGGCCCCACACACGGTTGCTGGCCCACGCATCCGCGGCGGCGCCCAGCCGACCACCTGCACCACACGCCCCACACGCCGCTGCGCGTTGCAAGTGAATTCCAATTTCGCACCGGGCGTTTGCGCCAGCTTTCGGGCCCAGGGGCCATCACAGGTCGATCGGGCTCGAAAAACGCGGCAGAAAGATGGGTCGAGGGCTCTGGTCGTGATTTTTCGCGAGGTTGCAGATTCTTCGCAACACCAGATCTCAGGGGTACGTTTCGCACGAGCCGCCCTTTGCCGCTCACCGGCGCCTCCCCGCCGTGGACCGCGCGCCTCCACCGCACTCAGGGTGGGATCTGCGTGCCGCGGGCTAAGAGCAGTCCGCCCTGCACGCTGGCTGCTCAGGGTCTCCTCTGTCCGTTTTCGGTCGTTTCGTCATCTGCCATGTTGGGTGCAATTAGCCTGCGCGCACCCCTTCCATGCTCTCGCGACGGTGACGTCACTTCGCTGGTGAAGGAAACAGGCGAGGCCAGTCCTGCGTTGGACGGACAGCCCGCCATTCGCACACAGAGTGCCCTCGATCGAGAGGTGGCCGTGGCGAGAGAAAAGACGACCTCAAATCTGTCCGCGCTTGTGCAGCGATATTGGGGCCCTGTCTCTCAGAACAGGCACTTGCAGCAGTCATCCTGCACAGTCTTTGCCCAAGCTCCCTCCCGTTCTCACTTGACTCGGTGTCTGCCCCGATGTGCTGGCGTATGCCTTGACGCACACACGCCTTAGCTTCGACTCTGCAGGTGCATTGTATGTGTATGCATCATGTAATGGCGTTTGCGTGCGAGGCAATTCCTGCGTTGCACGAGTAGCCTGCCATTTGCACGCATATTGCCCTCGATCGACACGTGGCCGTAGCGAGAGAAAAGGATTACATTTGCGTGCGTTCCAGTAACATACATGTGGTTACCTATAAATGTATGTACAGACAGGCTTTGTTAAGCACCCTCAGATCCCGGGTGGCACCATCAACACCACCGCCACCACCGCCACCACTGCCCCATCCCCCCATCACCACCACCAACACCACCACCACCACCACCGCCGTGTTCGTCACTACCGCCACCGTCGTCGCCGCCGTCCCTCCCCCAGTTCCCCCAAGGTCCTGCGCATCTACGCGTTGACCCTCGCGATGTACTCTCTGGCCTTCTCGGCGCACCTGACACTCGAAAAGCGCGACTGCGGGGCCCGTCGTCTCATCCATGTCCCGATCCTCGTAATAATGTGTATCATTAGGTTCCTCCTGGTCCCCCTCCTCCTCCTCCTCCTCCTCCTCCTCCTCCTCCTCCTCCTCCTCCTCTGATTTCTCCTCCTCATCATCATCATCACCATTATCAGCATCATGTTCATCATCATCAGCAGCATCATCCTCGTCAATATCATAATTGTCATGAACATCATAATCATACGCATAATCAACATCATCATCATCAGCAGCATCATCATCATCATCATCAGCATCAGCATCAGCATCATAGTCATAAGCATCATCAGTATCAGCAGCATCATCATCATGGCCATCATCATCAGCAGCATCATCAACATCAGCATCAGCATCAGCATCACCATCGTATTCATTTTTCTCCGTCTTGAGCTTCTCATGCGCGTTGTCGTCCTCTTCCGCATCAGTATTGTTGTTAATCCTATTCATTGCACGTTTCTCTCATCCTCATCCTACATGTCCTCCACACACTCCTCCCAACAGCATCTTCCCCCCTCATGCCTCATTGCCAGGTTCTTGATATTCGCACACAAGAACATGCCCCCACAGAATCCTCGGGGAGGGCCCATTGCCTTGAGAAGGCACTACGCGTGCTACTTGCGCGTGGCTTGGCAAGGCCATCAAGAGGGCTCAGTATGACACCCCGCTTATCCAATCTTCCTCACTCCAGGTCACCCCATCCTCTGCTTCGCTGGGAGGAGTGAGCAAAGCAGAGGAGGCGGAGGAGGAGGAGAGGGAGGAGAAGGCCCAGCCCAATGACAGCACGACACAGCGGCCCGACCGAGCAAGCACGACACCGACAGCATGCACAACCCGACAGCTACGCCAACGTTTTGCAACGCCGACCCCACACTCTCAGCCAAACCAACTGAGTTCGACAACAGCTTCAGGCCTCAACCACAGGAGCGATTACGCAACACAATGTGCATTTGGCATATGCACGAGTTCAGCGGACATACGGCCAGCAGCAGTACGACATTCATATCAACGACAGGCCGATTGCAGCATAGATTGAGGCCAAACGTAGAAGACAAGACCAGCTACCACATGAGGACCCGACAGCGTAGCGATAACATCGTGATGAGTCTCCTACCCATGGGTGCGATCGGAAGCCAGGTTTGTTATCGAAGGGTCGAAGTACAACAGGGCACATGTTCTAGAGCATCGGCGTAAACTAGTGAACGCGATCATGTCCTATTACCCTAGGCTGCATGACTTTCGAGGGGAGCCAAGGCGTGAACAGTACCCATGCCCTTTCCACGAGAGAGGTTACCTTTCCGACGCAATGAGTTGTTCTTCTGGCGCGGTAGTGAGCGCAACCACCAGATCAACAGCTACGGGACGCGCAAACCGACGCCATGAACATTCAACATTCCCACCAAGCCACCAAGCCCTTTCCCCTGATCCCGATCCCCCTCCGCCACCCTTTCCCCCCCCTCGCAATCCAGTCCCCTCCGTCTCTACCTCGTCCTCCGCCCCCCCCCTTGCACCCTCTCCATCAGCTCCCTTCTCCTGATCCCCATCCCCCTCCACCTCCCTCCCCCAATCGCCCTCGCCCTCCCTCTCTCCCCTTTCCTCGGTGGCACGCGTGTACGCGCGCCATATCTATGGACCCGGCTCGTTGCACAACGTCGCCACGGGAAGGGAGGGAAAGAAGGCAGGCTGTGGCGCGGGAAGAGCGTACTCCACGGGCCAGTGGTTCAGGCATGTCTCAGCCCTACGGCAGGCTCGTGTCGTGCCGACGGGGCGGCGACCCCGCCGCGGGCGTCCGAGGTCGAGCGCCGCCAGTGTTAGGTCGGGCAGGTCCTCCCACAGGCGGGTGTGGGAAGGAAATGAAGAATATGGAAAGATCATCAAAACTAATCAGAAGAGAACCACACATCGTCCCTCCTCCTGTAGAGGGCTGAAGGCTCAAGGCTGTTCAACGTTCCCAGTCCCAGTTCACTTCGCATACACTTGTCACTTAACAGTCATATCAACATCTTTTCTTGCACTCTCGTGGCGCCGAGTTGGGCCGGCATGGTTTCAAATGGGAATGGCAAGCGGTCAAGCGAGAAAGCATCGGGCTCCACAACAGAGAAGCATAAAGCAACGTCAGGTGCAAAAGAACTTGAAGACACAAACATTGGCGACGAGTACAGTCAATCCGCATAGTAAGAATGGGCAACCTTCCCAAGGGTACCCTTGCATCCTTGCCTCCTCGGTCAATCCTTCGCCACTTTCGTCGGCCGCGCCCCACTCGAAAAGTTTCGGAATGGGCGTCCAAGGCCCTCGCATCGTTATCGCGCATCCTTATTATACGGGTTGGCTGTATCTCAACACGGCCCCAGAATATTTCAAGGAGTTTGCCCGGATCCAATCGAAGCAATACGATGATCTGAAGGTTGAGATGGTCAACATCAGAAGCACGATAGATCAGGCCAGGATCGAAGCACAAGACGCAAGGAGGGCGGTTGAAGAGGTTCAGGGGAGGATGGATGAGATGGGAATGAATGTGGAGGGTATCAGGAATGATCTTGAAGAATTGTGCCTCACAAAAAAAGAGAGATCGAGGATATCATCGACAGCAAATTTCAGGACGAGCAGAACACCATGAACGAGACATTGAGGAAGAACATCGAGGAACTGAAAGTTACCATCAAGGGCACCACGGGATCTTCCCGGAGCAGCGCATGGCAGCGACCAGTTCAGGAGGCGAGGAGCAACGAAGGGACGGAGAAGGAGTTACGTATGAGATAGGTTGTTGCCTTTGGCTTTGAAGGGGGATCCTCAGCTAAGGAGGTGGTGGCGAAGCTGGAAAAGATATTTAAGGATCTCCCAGGCAACGATCAGGAGGCTGTCGTGCATACTTTTGCGGACCCTATCAAGTTTGGTGTGATCGAGTTTTCTTCGACGCGCGAGCAGATCAATGTTTGGAAGAAGGTCCGAAACAAGATCGATGCGGATGAGCACGTCGTCGGGAAGGTCTTCTTCGGGAACAACATGACGAAGGGGGAAATGGTACGCGAGAAGCGGATGGGATATACCACGTACCATCTGCGGAGACATTCCGAACACAACAATTCAGAAGTGCAAATAGTGTAGCAGAAGGGGATGGTTGTGATCAAAGATGGGACGGGCAAGGATAAGAAAATAGCATGGTATGACGAAGTTGGCGGCTGGCACACAACTGCTAGTGGGAAGCTGTTGGAAGCGGAAGCGGAAGGGTCGATGCGGAAGTGGGAAGAAAAGGTGAACTTGGAACCGACCACAGAAAGCGAGTGACCCCTCAGCAGCGGGCAGCATGGCGCTGCCCGCAGTATCATAACGAGTTTGGCGACCACAGCGCCCATCACAAAACAATCTTCGGTTTTGGGGTTCAAGAGAAAATCGCCTGCTGGAGGAGAAAAGGGGCGCATGCTTTTGTCGACGGTGATTTCCCTACAGGATCTTATAAAGTCTTCTGGACTTCAGCGAGCGTTTCGACCAGGACGGCTGGCACAGAGAGCTTACAAGGACCAGTGCGCGCTGATTCGATTGCGGAGGCAACTCTCGCTGGAGACCCAGCGCGACCTGACGAGTCATATCGGAATGCGTCCATTATTTTTCATTAAAAATACCCGAAGCCTCTCGAATTACGACCGCACGGAAGAGTTGATGTCGCAGTTTGATTGCACATCTTGGGACGCGGTTTTGCTGGCGGAGTTGTGGCGAACAGCGAACATGTTTTTCATCAATGATGGCGGCCATGTTTTTGCCGGTGTTGGTTTTGATCGGCACGAGCGCGATGTGGCAGCGCAATTTCACAAGCGCTATTTCACAAGCCATATACGAGCGGGTGCTGTATCTTGATTTGTCCGTCAGCAAAAAATGTATCCAGATAGTGGACGCGTGTTTCCCTCATGCTGGATATGAGGGCCGTTCCGTTCAAGCCTTCTACGCGCGCTTGTCCCGTCTACGTTATATAAATATTACGACAAGGTCATCGGCAAGTACGGGATGGGCGTAGAGAGCTCAAGGGGGCAGTGGCTGAAACAACGGGTAACTCTTGAGCAATTGGTAACTTGCAACATGTTTTTGTTCGAAGCCCCCGCTGAGACGAGCAAAGCACACAACAACTAAAGGTAGAGCACGGCGGCGGATCGAGCATTTCGTGACAGATCGCAAAGCGTGGCATCGCGCACAGGGCTCGGTTTTTGTATCGGACAGCAATATTGGTTCTGACCACTTCGCTGTCAAGCTCGTAATTGAATACCGTTGTGCCCGAGAAGACCGGGGAGAGGACGATCGCCAAGAGCATGAATATTGCGGCACAGTGGAAGGCTGTAGACCAGTCAGGCTTTTCTCGCATGCCCAAAGGATCGCTGGATACAACGGCCCTGGAAGGCGATGCCCACAAGAGATCTTCCCAGATTGAAGAGATGCTGGTCGATGCATCTCGTCGCAGCACCAAAATAATACCCCCTGCAACAAGTCCAGATTGCCAGGCGCGAAGATAATTGAGGAACGGAAAGGTTCACCTCCTGGTGATTTCTCTCATCGCGCAAATATCAGCAAGCGCGTCCAAAAATAATTCAAGGTTTAAAGGTTATGGACGTAAATGGCCGCATAGAGTCTTTATGTTCGAACTTCAGCGACTTGGGGAATATGGTCACCAAAGTCCCCGCAGAAGAAAAGAATGGCTACACGTGTACCCGATGGCAACAAGGTTGCTATTCCAAGGAAAGACATGGTTAATGTATTTGCAGATCTCTTCGAGGACCTGCACGCATCCAAATGCTACGTCGACAAGCACCACAACTGCTGCAGCCGTGCGAAAACAACATTCCTGCGCTCACCAGCGTTGAAGCATTATGCGCCATCAAGCAGCTGAAGCACAACAGGTGTCCGGATGGATGTGGCGTCGTGGCGAAGATGCTTTTGGCGGGGGGAGGTTGACAGAAGTGCTCACAAAGCTGCACGATGACATTACGAGGGGCGGAGCTGAACCTCCAGAGAGTTGGAGGAAAGCAGTGATCACCGTGCGACACAACTCAGGTGACGCACGCAAGCCAAAAAACGATCGAGCGATTACCAGTCCCCCGTTGTTGTACAAGCTGTTTGCCCGATTGCTTTATAAGAGTTCGTGTCCAGCTCTGGATTCCAAAAGCGCCCAGACCAAGCCCGTTTCCGACGTGGTTTCCAGGCAGAGGACCATTTTTTAGTTCTGACACAGTTGCGTTGCAGGAGCAGGCGCACGAGTTCCAAGCACCAGTGTGGGTAGCGGCGCTGGGCTTCCAAAAGGCGTTCGATTCAGTGGAACATCAGGCGTTGTGGAACGCATGGTTCTCGCAAGGGGTACCGCGACCATACGTCGACCTCTTGGCAGTTCTGCACATTGGACAGCAGGCGCAAGTTCGCACAAAGGTGCGAAGCAGATGGTTCGACATCTCCCGGGGCACAAAGCCGAGCGACCCGATCTTCAATGTTTTACTTGAAGAAGTCTTACAAAGTGCGAAGTGGTTATGGCATGATCGTGGTTACGGCATTTGTTTGGGACTTTCACGCATTTCTCTCCTGACCAACTTGCGGTTTGCGGATGACGTTCTCTTGGCGGCTACAAATTTGCGCAAAGTTGGGGCAATGCTGGGCGATTCGCGCAGATTTGCTGGCACTGCTGGGGAGATTCTTGGCATCGCTCGGACGAGTGCATTTTCCTCGGCGACGCCAGCGCGGAGAAACCAGTACAATCCAGAGGCACTTTAAATCATCCTGCGACGGAAAGTGGACAAGCCACACACAACAACAAAACTATACCGAAAAAGGCGCGGAGAAGGGACCCTGACATCTGGCGGCTCCCATTTTTTTGCGCGTGGGCCCCAGAGGTCTGGACAACTTCCCTAGAGGACCGCTTTGTTCGTCCTGAGTCGTTTTGCGCCGCTCCCGAGGCCCGGCGAGGACCCCCGGAGGCCGAAAACTGCCCAAAACCACCTGCCCAAACTTTTCGGAACGTCGGATCTTTAGGGGCGTCCGAGCTCTGGCAAGGACCGCGGCGAGGAGAGCCCCGATCAGGGGCAACCACAGGGGGGGGGACAGGCATAGAGGGGGATGCATTGGCCCCCGGGGAGACGCATCGACCCCCAATCGCCCATTGATCGCCGATGTGGGCCCGATTGCCCCAATCTGCCCAGGAACATGCGGATTCACTACCGGGGGCCTATCGCCGATCTGTCAGCGACGTACCGCCGATTCCAGGTCGATGTTTCCCCCCCTGTGCCCATCCCCCCCCCCATCCCCCCCCCCTGCCGTTGCCCCCCCTCATTCGCGGGCTGGGGAGGGGCGGAAGCGGCCTCGCCGCGGATGTGGGAGCCCTCCTTCTCAAGGCGGCGCCTCTCCCCTCCCCAGACACCCGGCTGCTTCCATTTGTTCGATGCATGGGCCCCAGAGGCCCGGACCCTTCCCTTAGGGACAGTTTTTCGCCCTGAGTCGTTTTGCGACGCTCCCGAGGCCTGGCGAGGGCCCCAGGAGGCCGAAAACGGCCCAAAAACCACCCGTTCTAGTTTTTTCGGAGCGTCGGATCTCTAGGTGCTATGTTCCCGCTGTTCCCTCCCTCTGCCGGTCCCACCGCGGCTGCGCCCGTCGCTGCCCCGCCGACGACGGCGACGGCGACGGCGACGGCGACGGCGACGACGGCGACGGCGACGACGGCGACGGCGACGGCGACGGCGACGGCGACGACGACGACGGCGACGGCGACGACGGCGGTCGGCAGGCACGTCTTCTCCACGACCGTGGTGTCGGTGCCCCTGGGGCGGGGGGGCCGGGGGGGCCCGCGGCCTCGGCGGCGGCGCGCCGTGCTCGGGCCGTGCTCGGGCCACGCCGCTCGGACCCCGCTGCCTCGGCAGGGTCGTCGTCGTCGTCGTCGCCGTCGTCGTCGTCGCCGTTGCAGGTGTCGCCGTCGCCGTCGCCGTCGTCGGCGGGGCAGCGACGGGCGCAGCCGCGGTGGGACCGACAGAGGGATGGAGAGGAGCAGCAGGAACATCACACCCAGAGATCCGACGCTCCGAAAAAGTCAGAGCGGGCGGTTTGGGGCCTTTTTCGGCCTCCTGCGGCCCTCGCCAGGCTCCAGAACGGCAAAAAACGGGTCAGGACGAAAAACCAGCCTTGGGGAAGTGGTCCTGGCCTCTGGGGCCCACCATGCACCGAAAAAATTGGAGCATCCGGATGTCTGGGTAGCAGGAACTTGTATCGGTGATCCGTTTTCTTCCTTCACGGCTGAACCGATTGCTCTAGATGAAGCAGTCGAGGCTGTGAGGAAATTCGCGCTTGAAATAGGCAGCCGGCCGTCCAACATGTGACCTAGGCCTCGAGAGAGAGAGGGAGCGTTGCGCCGACGGGGTCCGCGCGGACCGTCGAA